TAGACTGCCCGCTGCGAAGGGATCCTGTATCCTAGCGGCTGAAATCTGAGATGTAATGGGCTCTTCCTATAAACTCGGGGCGTCTGTCAGCCTATTGGCAGCCCTCTGCGATGGGACCCTGGTCCTAGCAGTAAAGTCACGGACGTTAAACTCTTTTTGGGGTGCCCTCCAGCCTCCTAGGCTGCTCACTGCGATGAGACCTTGCGTCTCAGCAGTAGAAGACTTGGGTGTAACACACACACACACTTCTTAGTCTCTTAACTTAAAAACATGAAAAGTAGGCATCATTAATCTAATTCCCAGAAGATACTGATTTACGCATAGCAGATGTTGTCAATTTAGACATTTCTTTTGGCTGAGATTCATATATACTAATCCTTATTTAAACTTGCAATTTTGCAGATTAAAAATGTGTTATCTGAACATCACTTCGAAACGCAGATTTCACAGCACTCATATTTTCTTTCTATGGATCTGTCTGATGAAGAATCTAGAAATTTGCAGGCTTCCCAATTCACCAAAATCTTGTTTCTGAATTCTCTAGCAAGTTAACAGAGGGCAAAAAGTTGAGCATGTTTCCCTGAAGCCTCGGCAAAATTAAATAATGCAATTTATTCTTAGCTGTACTTGGTAAAAGGAAACATTAAATTCACATTTTATAGTTTTCAATAGTTTTTCAAAACTAAGAAGTACATCTAAATTTAAAATGCCTATTCTTCATGCACTCTATGTTTTACTTTCCATTTTGTCTAAAAATATGCTGTCTAATCTGGTCATTGTCACATCCTTAGTCAAATCTACAGATTGAGTATTTGGTCTTTAAACCTGCAGTTTCCAACAAAGGGAAGAATAACAGAGTTTTGAGCCAGGGAGAACACCACTTAGCCTCATACCAATCACATGAATACACCAGGCACTCATGGGCCACCCTGCTACTATCTATGTTTGTGAAGATATAAAGGCTACTTTTTGTTCTAATTGGTCATCTTTTCCCAGAGACTGTGGAATATGGGGCACCTTAATTACAACATGATTAGCATTCCTCATTCTTCTAAAGTTCTTGTGGGCTCCAGCCCAAACCCTGATGTATATGCTGAAATTTTAGCTGAACAGCCTCTCAGCTGCAGCCACGCCGCAAGTCTTTCATTATAGTGTAAATGTACCCTTAGCGTCTATGTTCAAGCCAAATTTGTGTCATTGTTTTTAACATTATTTGAAGGTCACCATCAATCAGTCAACTGTGTGGCCCTTTTTTTCCTTTGCAAAAAGTCTGCACTTGAATGATCATCTAATTGGAGTAAAAACTCCCATTAACAATATGGTTTCTGCTTTCTTTTTATAACCAATCATATGGTTAGATTGAGTCTTTCAGAAAAAAATGCAGGTAGTGCCTTGTGGCTTTGTAACCCAATGAAACATGATATTTTGAGACAGTAAATCTCCACTGACCTACTCAAACAGGAGTCTACTTAATCCCAACTAAAAGCAAAGATTTTTATAGCAAATATGAGTGTTCTATTTCATTTACAAAATCTATTTAATTTCATTTTATAATATAAATGTAAAACATTTATAATTACATTTGTAATAATACATTAAACTCATGCATCCATCTAATTCATTATGGTGTATGGATGCCTCTACAATTTACCAAAAACAATAGTTTGTGATGCAGTTTCCTCACTTCTCAATTGTTTTCATTCATTCAAATTTTATAAAATTCAGTCATTAGTAAAGACTAAAAATACAGTCTTTAATAGAAATTAGCAAGAGTCTTAAAAAGAACCTTCAGCAAAAGAAATTGAAACTTGGAAGCTAGAAGAGATCAAAAGCACCTACGCAATAAAAAAACTAATTAAACTGAAAGTACGATATTTCAGATATGGATAAGCTTCTGAAGAAAGCTATGCATGCTTTTATTAATTAAAAAGTATTAACTTGCAAATTAGAACAGACAAGACAAAATTGGATGATATATGATATAAAAGCTGTTCAATAAAGTCCACAGAAGCTGAAGATAAAAGGTTTTGTATACAATTTTGAAAAGTTTACTTATAATTATACACACACACACGAGATTAATCTGGAAGGGTATAGCTAGAACCAAAAACTTCAGGTTTGGAATTGACAGCTTGGGGCTTGAATAAAAGTTTTTTTATACATAAACAAAAAAGGCTGAAATATCAGATTAAGAAAACATTTTTGTACATGGAAGGATTGGATTCTGCAAGTTAAACTCAAACACTAGTTTAATTTTTAAAAGGTATAATACAATAATCCAATTTTGTCTTTGATCTAACAATATTTTAAATGTTCTTAGAAAAGCATGGGCTTGCAGACATTACTTGTTTAAAACTTTCATCGAAGGAATAACTGCACAAAGTCTGCAGGAATGGACTGGACTCCCAATTAGAGATTTTGAAGCCCAGGTAATCACTGAGGCATAACAGCAAGCTGCTAAAATATTTGAAGAAGCTGATTTCAATAGGAGCCCAATATGGTAATGCCCTCCCCCTTTTTTTGCCTTTTAATAAATTTTAATAAATAGAAAGTTATTTCTAATGGAGATCTTATTATGTAAGAGATTAAGTTTCTCCTTTCAGTATCTTCCCATGGACAGCCTATCCCTAAACAAAGGGGCTACGTCTACACTGGCATGATTTTCCGGAAATGCTTTTAACAGAAAAGTTTTCTGTTAAAAGCATTTTTGGAAAAGCGCGTCTAGATTGGCAGGACGCTTTTCCACAAAAGCACTTTTTGTGGAAAGTGTCCGTGGCCAATCTAGACGCGCTTTTCCGCAAAAAAGCCCCGATCGCCCTTTTTGCAATCAGGGCTTTTTTGCGGAAAACAAATCTGAGCTGTCTATCCTCAGTGCTTTTGTGGAAATTCAAGCGGCCAGTGGAGATAGCTGGCAAGTTTTTCCACAAAAGCAGATGATTTTGTGGATAAACTTGCCAGTCTAGACACAGCCAGGCAGTTAGTACCTCCCACCAGCAGTAGACAAGAAAAAAAAGCCAGAGTGCTCATGATGTCACTCTACAGCAGTGGTTTTCAAACTTCTTCTCGTGACCCAGTTGAAGAAAATTGTTGATGGCCACAACCCAACATAATGATGTATTTTGACTAGAATGCAGGCTACAAAGTGGAGTTGGTGATGAAAGGTTTGGAGTGCAGGAGGGGGCTCTGGAGGGGAGAGGGCTCAGGGGACTGGGGCACGGGCTTTTCTCTGGCTACTCCTGGTCAGCAGCACAGTAGGGGAGCTAAGGCAAGATCCATGCCTGTCCTTGCACTGTGGACCGTGCTGCACCCGGGAAGCAGCCAGCAGCAGGTCTGGCTCCTAGGCAGAGGCATGCAAGTGGCTCTGTGTGCTGGTCTTGCCTGCAGGCACCTCCCCACCACCCCCATTA